TAAAAAAAATCCAATAAACATTATCTGATCCAAAACATTTATCAATTCTAATATTATATCATGATTTTCCAATTCATTAGAAAATATATTATCATCTTATCAATCTTGAAATTCATATGTCCACTTTCCATTGTCGCTTCTCAGACACCTACGTGTCTTGAAGAAAATGTGAACCTGCCAATTGAAGGAGATTGTTCGAAATTCGTTACTTGCTCTAATGGAATTGCATACGAGATGGATTGCCCTCTAGGTTTACATTTTAACGACGTACTCAAAGTATGTGATTGGCCCGCGAATGCAAATTGTGAACGTTAATATGTCACTTTATGCGAATTTTTTATTAAATAATAATTACATCCCTTAAGGGTAGAATATATAATATATTATATAATCATGTAACATTAGAACATTAGACCTTACATATGATTTGAAATAAAAATTTATCATTATGAATGGTGTCTACACAATGACATTGCTCTCAGGTTAAAAGTGTTAAAAGTCGATTTTAAGGTTAAACATATTTTCCCAATATAAGATCACATGATTAAGAGATATTTTGATTGGTCATGCCACGTTGCGACATGGTCTGAATTATAATTTAATTTCTTAAATGCTGTCCAAAATCCAAGCAGTAATATTACAGGGACAAAAAGTAGTATCACATGATAATCTACGGTGTGATTAAGTGACATGTCAAATCGCGTCTAAATTCAAACTCAAACTTTTACAAAGGTAACATGAACAATATGGAAAACTTATACGTTAATAGTAATATAAACAACAAAAGTCTAGCAGATTTGCGTGCTTTCGTGCTGCTGAAATTCGATAAGTTCATTGGCGATACGCGAAATGTCTCACAATCTGCAAATCAGGAATGGAAAACACAAATGAATAAGGATCGAGGTTATTAGTGTAGTATCTCAATCTCATGTTGAAAGGTTTTTTAGTCGTGCTCATTTGGTGATCCTCAATTATTATCATCTTAATTTATAAAGAAACGGAAGAGAAACTGACTGCGAAAATTAAAGAATGCGAGGAAAAAACGCGTATATTAGGACAAAGTAATCATTTTTAATAATCTTTTGAGAATTTCGTTCACTTGCTACAAATGAGCATAGTAAGATTCACTACGTGATTAAATTATCAGCGTTAGCAAAAGAAGCTGCGCAAATAGAAGAGGCTCAAAGAATCAATATTGAACTACAGCACCAGGTACAGACATTAATTGACAGGAAAACCAATTTTCAGAGTCAAGTACAAACGCTGGAAAAAGAATTACAAAAGTTGCAGGCTTGTGAGTGTTACAATTATCGCTTGCTCTTATTGATATTGATTGGATATTGATGGATTAATGTGTTTGTATATGAATAAAAAATAATATTGAATTAGTCAAATCGGCGCAAAAACAAGCACTTCAGATGCAATTCTCGAGAAACGAATCGGAACTACAGTTGTACAAAGATACCCTAAAGATGAAGTTAATGGGATTACAAAGTAATATTTTGCTTCTATTCCTGATTTATTTTGAAATGAAAGTAACTCACTCTGCTATTCGACTGATTTGATTTCTTGATTAAATTATAGCAGACAATATATTGGTTAGCTTCAAATGCATCAGTGACTGTGATTCTGAACGGGAATATTCGTTCCTGGTTGATGTAACTGAGAGTCAGTATAAAAGTAAGTATTCATTTAGAGAGTTAAATTGATTATGCATTATTCCAAGTTGAACGTACTGATTAAACTTGTAAACTTGAACGTATTTATTGTTCATTCATTTTTTGTATGCATTATTCGATTTTATATTTATTTTATCTTTATATATGTACAGTCAGCATGTGCCGACTTCCCGCTAAACAGATCGAACAATTGGTCGAATACCTGAACAAAACACGTCAGTTTTTTTCGTTCCTAAAAAAGATTCGGAAAGCATTTCGCGAACATTACAAAAATGAAAAATGATTGTATAAAATGTAAAATAATTACAAGAACTATCTATCAAAATTATTTGTAATTGTTTACTATTCGAATAGGGTGGTACACGCGTGTAAATAACTCTGTTGGTTACTGGGTGGATTGTTGGTGTGATCGATCAAATTTATTTGTAATTGATATGGCATTAATATCTTGAGTTAATAAATTTCTAAGAGAATGTACGTATAAATATTTATTTGTGTATATGATACATTTGATGAGAGTACCAAAGATGGATGATGATTCTATTTTCAAAAGACATATAATGAACCTATTTCCCTTATATAATAACTACATCTAATAACATAAAAAATTAAGGAAATCTTTATCAAAAAGGTTCCAAAAACGTAATCAAAATTAGAAACCGAAGTATGGGTCCGTGTTGTGTGTAAGGAAGAGGTATAAATAAAAATAAAAATAAAGAAATAATGTTGCAATATTATTAAGACATATTAGTTTGTACAGGATGAAAATGAGAAAAAATATACAAACTTTTATTGACAATACCTAATTGAAAAAAAAGCCACCCATGCTATTTTTATAATTATTATCACCAACCACGAAAAATAAATAAACATAAAGCGCGCTAGTTCCCGCTAGCAAGCCTTATTTATGTAAAAAAAAAAAATGAACAATAAAATGAATCAAATAAAATCACCAATCCCATTATCTAATTAAGAATATCGATAAAATATAATAACTATAATAGCAAATAGTTATAATGGAATAAAATGAATTCAAAATATCAAGCTTTATTTTCTCTTTTTTCTCAAAAAAGTGATATATCTCATGATTTAAGTGACAATCATAAGAATATAACAATAGTAGTAATAATAATAGTCAATAATGATAACAGTAATAATAATAAATGCTCAAAAAAATAAATACAATCTTTTTTGAGCTAAGGATGCCAACCCACCACCATATGAATCAAAGTCTGTGATCAACATAAATCAATAATGCAAGTTTTTTTCCAAGTTACATCTATTTTACACACCATCCGACAATAATAATAAATATGACATTATTTTTGCTGAGAAAATTTGATCCAAGCGTGCGACTACTTTATTCATGTTGTTCCAGGCTCTTTCGTGTCATTATTTGGTGACGATCGTGGTGACGACGTCGACGACACTACACTTGATCTCGTCGTATTATTATCATTGTTTCTACTAGAGGAATCGTTCTCAAACAAATTTTGCGCATCGCCTCCCCAAAATATCATGATTTCACCATCTCCCTCGTCAGACATCATTGTACTTCGAGGGTTCGAGCTAACCGAACTTATCACACTCTCTCTTTCCAAAGGATGTGGTGAAGCTCCGCCAACGCCTCCTATTGTTGATGATGTCGCCGTCGTGCTAGAACTGTCTACTTCGTCACTACCAAATAATCCAAAAGACTGACGTCCCTCAAATGGATCAAGGAACGGGGAAACTAGATTTGAAGAGGCAATGTTTGCAGAATCGTTATTATCGTTATTGTTATTTGTGCTGTTTTTACGAGATGTAGAAGATTCCAGTGAAGATCGTTCGATATCGATTCGCGGTAAGAACATGGTCGAATTTTTTGATATGGTTATTGTATCGTCGTCATTATTATCAAACTCATTATCTTCATCACCAAGAAGATCGTCCTCGTCGTCATGCATCGAAATCGAGTGAAAAGTGGTCGGACTGCTAGGCGTTGATGACTTATTCGAACGCACACTCAACAAAGTGTTTCCTGTTTTTGGTGTGGCCGGTGACGCCAAGTGATTTCCAGCCTGTGATCTCAAATCGGACAGACTATTCGACTTCACGGTGTTAAGACGAACAAGTGCCGGTTTTGCACGTGTGGCAGTAACAACCGCAGTTCCGCTAGTCGGTGTGGCTTTTTTGGCTTGTAATACTGTTCCAACTTCCGAAAATACATCATCGTCTTCCGATAGACTAACAAGTTTTTCATTGGAATAGGTGCGTGGTAATGGACTTGCCAGAGGGGTAGCAAGTGGTGTTGTTCCCACGCTCAGGTACGAGGCACGATTTCGTGGATACGCGTGAGCAGGTTCAGGTCGAGGTGTGGTAGGTGTGGTTGGCGTTGGAATATATGCAATTGGTATCACGTTCTCGCTATCAGTTGATGCCCATTCTCTACTCTCGGAACTATCAATTTTTTCGGAAAAGAATTTGCCTCCTCTTCGCCGTTTATACCGCATATAGCCGATCCCAGCCGCAACCAACACCACAACACCAAGCAAACCGCCAATCACTGCAGGAATCAACTGAGCGTTGCTATTCGAACCACTTCCGCTACTGCCTTTATCAAATGAACTATTGACGCCGACTTTAATGTCGCCGCATCGGGGTATTGGACATGTTGTACATGTTGGTAAATCGAGAACACATATTTTTCCTTGTGGACATACTGGACACGCTGGTGGTGAGCCACAGACCACGCATGTTGAACCTGGGGACGATGATGATGTTGTTATTGTGGCATTTGATGATAGTTCTTTTGAATCTGTTTTTTGTTCTGTTGTATTTTTATTTG